TTAAGAAGATCACCAGCAATTTAATTTCATTTAACCTTTATTAAGACAGGTTAGAAGAAATACATATTAAAATTGGATGAAACCCATCATGAAGACTCAGGCTCTGAAAACAGTTACATAATGTCTTATGTGTCCCTGAAGGGAGCTTAAGAACAAGTCACCTGAAGATGTCATAGTTATGTCATCTTCAGAAGCTTAGGCTTACGACATGCAATTTTTAACTGAATGTTTGATACTATGAAAATGTAGGCACTTTTGGAGCTTTAATCGTGATTTGCCATTTTTCACTCAGTGGTCTGTTTATCTGATGGAAAGCTGCACATTTCATTTAGCAGACACTTATGAACAAAGTGACACAAGCAAGGATCTAGAAAGGAGGAAATGTCAGCAAGTGCCAAAAAACTGCTAAGTCCATGTGCTGGCAGGCAGTGCACATATAGAGGTAATGCACAGCATATAGCATAAACTATTGTCCTGTTTTTTTTCTTTTATCATTGTCATCAACATCAACAGCTTCGTCATCTACAGTATATCATCAGTAGCATTGATATCATTAAGTGCGTAGGTGTTCATCAAAGAGCTGCGTCTTTAGATTTTTCTTAAAGGACAGATCAAATGGAGTTTGGTAACTCAATCCAGCACCGGGGACAACAGAAGACAAGAGTCAGCTAGAGACTGGTAAATGGTAAATGGACTTGGACTTTTAATGGCCATCAATCATGACACCCATGTTCTGGGCAGAATGTGGCCCTGAGTTCAGTAAGTCAAAGCTGGATATCCATCTGTGGTTGCATAGAGGGACTACCTGGGATAACAATCTTTGATAAATTTATGGTGAAGGTGGTGTGATGAAATTCTTGCCAGGAGTGTCCTGTCATCTGACAGGAATGGTGGGAAGAGCTGAGTATCATCAGCATAACAATAGTAAGGGTTTGGATGATTGCACCAAGTGAGGTCGAGTATATTGAGAAGAAAAGGTGGCTAAGCACTGACCCTTGAGGCACCCCTGTGGATAAGCTGTGCAGTTTAGACACTCTCCCTTCCATGATACTAAAGGATATCCTTGAGAGGTAAGATATGACCCAGAGGAAGGTAGATGCTGAGATACCAAGCTCTCTGAGTGTGGAAAGGAGGATTTGGTGGTGCATTGTGTAAAAGGCAGCTGACTGATCAAGCAGCACTAGAGCTAAGGATTGACCAGCAGCTCTGGCCAAACACATCAATCCTGTTACTGACAGCAGTGCGGTCTTGGTATAGTGGCCCCACTTAAAGCCAGACTGATCCGGGTAATACAGGTTATTCCTACTAATGTGTAGACTTGATTAAAAACTGTGTGCTAATGTATTTTTGACAGAAAGGGTAGAAGCAAAATTAATGTGTAGTTTTCATTATCAATCTGTTCATGTTCAATTAAATATATTTCTAGCTTACCTTAGTGTTCAATAGGAATAAGTGTTAGCTAAAGGAGTTTTAACTGACAAGAGTGTTAGTTAAGTGCCAGCTAGGAAGTGATGCCTTCCAATCTGATAACCCTGTAACACCAGAAATGTAATGTTAGCTAAATTAGCTAAGAGAACTTTGGCTGCCTGCTTCTAGGACAACAGCCTCTGTACATGAGGTGTGCAAACCAACCACCATTTTTTTTGCCAGTTCTTCGCTTTTTGCCTTCATTAAATAGAACAGCTGAAGAGAGACAAGAAAAATGGGAAAAACTCAGAGGATGACATGCAACAAATCGTGGAACCAGTGAAAAGAGCGTCAGAAACTTTAGCCTCTGTCTGCTACACAGACTTAGCCAAACCAGCATGTTTGCTTTAACAGGAAATATGCCACCATGACTCTCAATATTTTTACTATCTGTTGTCTTTTAAATTTGTCATCCATCAGTTTTATATCATGTAATACTATTAGCCTATATTATTAGCTTGGATTTAATCCTAATGTTAACTGTTGTCTAAAGGGATCTAATGGGTTAGTGTGTTGTTTTAACTTTAAAAAGAAGTCCCCCTTACACTCCAGATATTCCTTGCATTGTCTTTTTACTTAGTGATCAATCAAAAAGTTTAAAGATGATAACACTTTTCAGATTACCCACTTGTATTTGACTTACAACCTGGAATACAGCAGTAAACTACACTGAGTCTCACACCCTCAGCTTGACTTCAAAGCAAAATGGAACAAAGTGAATTAAAGTGCTGCTGCATTGTGCAGTTGTTTGTGGTTGTTTTATGTTGAACTGTCAAAGACTTGACTGCAACATGTTTCTTTGTTGGGTGAAAGTTTCTTTTTAAAATAAAGCCACAGAGGGGAAAAAAGAAGAAAAAAACAGACAGTGTACCTGCTTCCACAACGCTCCACCAGCCACTGCAGAGACTCTCCAGTGTTTGCGATGTGCTCCTCAATGAAGACACCTTTGGGTAACTTATCCACCCCAGTAAAAACCACCATGGAATACCTCCAGGTCCCTCCACCCAGGGCCCCTAGCTGCTCCTCTGCGGCCCTCCTCTGCGTTTCAGTAAAGGGCTGGGTGACTGACACCACAGCAGGATGGCGTGGGGTCCAGGAGGGCAGAGAATGGCGCCCATGCATGGACCCTCGCTGTCCAGACTTGGCGGGGGCTGTGGCGGAGTGTCTGACTCAGCGCCTGCATTGTCGTTGTTGTTGTCAGCTTCCGCATTGTCCTCGGTGTCCCTAGGGATGGCCCACGGCGGGGTGTCAACCACAGTGACCCGTCTGCCGTAGATCTCAGTCTGGCCCACGTTGCTGTGAGTGGTTTCTGTTCCTGTGTCGAAGACCTCGTCCCCCAGGATGGTATTAGCGGTGGAGGTCTTACCGGACTGTGGCCCTCCCAGGAGCAGAAGTCTACGCTCTGGAGGGTGTCGACCCCTAGGGTCCCCTGATGAAAGGAAGACAGGAAGATTAGCATCTAGGTTCCTCAGGATTGTCCGAGGAAGAAACCATCTTTATATTCACTCTGCTTTCATCTCCTGTTGTATCTCTGAATTGGCCGATATCCAAAGGGCTTTTCAGAGAAACTTTCAGATCTTTCAACCTCATATGTCTTATTTTCATGCACTCTCTCTCCATCAGTTCTGAGTCTGACTCTTCAGATTTCCTTCCTATCTGAGCTCCTTTATACCTTATACCTCCTCTCCCCTTCAACAGTCTTCTCTTTTATTCATTCCTTATCCTTGTCTCTACCTCCCCACATGCCTCCCTTTTGTTTGCCTCTGTCCTTAAGCCTTGGAAAAAAAAACTGATTGGAGAGGAGAAACCTGGACTCCCTCCAGGGAGAAGGGCATGTGGACAGAATATGATTTAATCTCTGTAAAAGTTACACAACCAGGATAAATGTTAACATAAACGGCATAGCTGAGGAAGATAAATATTCAGCAGACAGAGGTTGAGTGACGCCTGCTCTGAGCTAATGACAATATTTTAGTACAGACAGGGAGGACATGGAAGTTGTATGATTTATCTCTGTTACTTATTACTGTTTACACATTCCATGTGAGCGGCTAAACACATGCAGGAAGTAACAACTTAAGCAACAGTTTCCCAGTTTTGTTGATGTTCAACAGAGCCAGGCAGTACAGACCTTACCCCGGATGCTGTGACTGAACATATGGGGGTGAGGGATGAACCCGATGTGAGGTGTGCAGCAAAGGATGGAAAAAACCCCCACTTACCAGTGTCGGAGGCAGAGGACACAGCAGCCATCTTGTGTGTAGAACCTCTGGCTTCCTCCTCCTCAGCCCCCCTCCTCCTTCTCCTTCTCGCCTCCACGGTGGATTTCTCTTCTTGCCTCCTTCAGAAAGCGATGGGTCCTGGGTGGCGTGCTAAAGGCTGGTGGCTCGAATGCTTCTCGGCTCTCTCTTTCACTCTAACCCTCATTCTACTGCAGCGTAACTCGCTCTATCTTCTACTCCCTGTGTCGACCCCCTGCCTCACTTTCTCTCTTCATACCTCCCCTGCCATTCAACTTCAGCCCCCCTTTTTTTTTTTTTTATCTATTATCCTCCACACAGCCCTAACCTCACTCTTGGTGTTCTGCGTCCTTCCGCTTCCCTCTCCCTCTCCCAAACGCCTTCAAGACTTCCTCTTCTTGTCTAATTTATCAGAGAGGAACGATTGTGCAATGCAGGAGCCTGGAAGCCAAATCCACCCCTGCTGCAGCAGCTCTGGGAAGATGTCTTATCAATTTTTTTTTTTTGAGGCAAAACAGAGGAAGCTGTTCCTCCCACTTGCTCCTATCACACAGCAGTAGCAGCAGCAGCAGCAGTGTGGCACTATATGCAGACTGCAGTCAGGAGGACAGATAGAAAGATGGATAGACAGAGAGGGAGTGGAAGAAAAAGAGAGAGGGAGAGAGAGGGAGGCACTCTCTGTTTACAGCTGGATGTATTCCCCAGATGCTGCATCACGCTCAAATACAACTACTTATATGATGCCTGTAGACACAGAGGCATTGTGAGGCACAGAGGAGATGTAGTACTGCATGAATACATTTAATTATTCATCTAAGGCATGCAGCCACTGATTACATAATATATAAAAGCTCCTGTAAATAGCAAATGTCTGTATAAGACGGTAACTCAATTGTGTAAAATTCAAAGCACTGTCACCTTAGCGTGAATAATTTCTGCAGGATGCATCAAAAATCATGTGATGTTGGCTGGAAAAGTGAAGTGCTTCATCGTGAATGTCTGAGCTCATCCTTGGCTCCCTCACAGGTTAATTATGTCCGCTGTATGACCAGACACATTCACGGACCCCAGGGAAATTACGCCGTTAAAAAAAAAACATTATCAGTATGAATGCAAAAGAAATGGCAACCAAGCAGGTACATTTTGTAGCGTTTCTTTTACGTAATTTCACGTACTTGATTATTGTTTTTACACTATCACGACCGCAGCTTGTTAAACCAAACAACTGGGGAGAGAGAGAGTATTTTGGCGATGACACATCGGCGCCACTCTGCCGCAAACCGTTTAACCGTCAGACGCTGACCTCACGCTGTACGCCGACCTGTACTGTCGTAAAAGGTCGCTCCTTCATCCATGTGACGCGACAACAAGCCGAAGCCGGGAAAGCGTGGCTAGTTTGGGAAGCTAGTGTGTGTTGGTGAAGAAGGTGCGGGTCAGACTACTTTTTTTTAGTGTGTGTGTGTGTTTTTGCAGACACCACTTCGTCTTACAAACATGGAGGGAGCCGACGAGTTCATGAAGTATCGTTCCCCTCTGGTGTCGAGGTATGCTAGCAAAGAGATGGCCTACAACTTCAGTGACAGGAAGAAATTCACCACCTGGAGGAAGCTGTGGATCTACCTGGCTAAAGCTGAGAAGGTTCGACAGATGCATGCTTGCAAACACAGGCGGAGACCTCTCTGTAATTGTGTTTAAAGTCAACTTTTCCGACTTTTATGAGTCCTCTGAACTAAAGTTTGCGACCTTCAGAGAGCCCTATCAAGTTCCTTGCTCTAAAAATAGTTTAAGAAGGAGCCAGTTAGTGAACTTTCTGCATGTGTGTCTTGACTTCTTGTACAATCGTGCACAACAGAAAAAAAGCATGCACAAAAATGAAAATAATAATTAGATATTTGTATTATCAAAGCTTTTTTTATTCTAACAGCTTTGAAATTTACGCAGAAACCAAATGTTTTTTTTTTTTGTTGTTGTTGCAGTAATTACAGTATAGTTTTATTGTCCCCCCATACATGTGTTAGTATTTTATTATTTATACAACTGAAGTTTCTCTGTTCCAAAGAAATACTGGCAAAAACAGCAGCATCAGTATTAAACAATGAGTTTGCCGCTCATTTAAATCAATCAAACTTTATTTATATAGCACCTTTCAGACAAATTAAATTGCAGACAGTTCAAAGTGCTTAACAAGAGTGCAGAAAAGTTATTGACGAAAAGTAGTTTATAAAATCATCGATAAAACTTAACTTATACATACAGCTATTGCCAGTTGAAATGGAAAGACAAGTCACATTTATGCCTGAAAACTCATGTTTATCTATACCAAATGTACCAAAGTGGTAATTGTTTACGTTGACTGACTGTATCGGATGTCAAAGTTCTTAACTTGGAACAGATTCAAATTAAAATCAAACAGCATCAGTTGTTTTCACTGATGAAATGTTCAGTTTCCCCCTCTCCTTTATCACCTCAACATTATTGAAGTACCTTAAATTTTTTACAGATGTCCTCAAGAGTCAGTCAAATGTATTTTTTTTTTTGTTTTGTTCAGTAAGACATAAAACCTTTATTTGGGGGGATATATTTCAGTCCCTCTGAAGTATGTGAACTTAGAAATGAAACAGCCATGTGATCCTGCAGCCACATTTAACACAACAGTAGCCAGTTTGTTAAAAACACACAACAGTTTAACTAAGCGTATGTTTTTATTTAATAATGACTGACTGTGTTGGTATTTCAGCTGCTTGAATGTTAATCCCTCTGAGTGGTTCCTATCTGTCATATTAAAGTGACAGAGAGGGGGGCTAACTGATGACAGAACATCTCTCACATGCAGGCCCTCACATGACTTGACACACACACACACACACGCACACGCACACACACAGTCGCACACGCACCAATCAGCACTGATCAGAGTCCATGTTTGTCCAATTTTCTGTGTTTTGAGAGGATGCACAGAGGGTTAGTGTTGGCCTGTGCAGAGTAAGTCAGGCCTGTGTGGATTGTGTGTGAAAATAGCATGCAGAGAATGTCACAGTAACAGGAGACCGCCCCCTGAGACACACTGCACTTTAACAGCTTAAACCGAGCCCAGCCTAAGTTCTGAAGCCTTCATGCTTCTTAAAAGAAACTTATTTATTAAGGTGTTTTAGAGACATTTCAGTTCTTGTGTCCATATTTCTTTAGTGTCTGCAGTCCTACAATCACGTTTAAATGCGCTTGTCTGCAGCATGTAGAAGATCATCACATCTTTGCAGCACTATGATTGGATGACAATGTTTTTAAATGTTTTCTGTACTAGTATAGTTATTTGTTTTAGAAAGCATCCTTAAAACATTTACACAGTCATTCTGTCTTAAAATGAATGTTGAAAATGTCTTTTTATTCCAGTTTATACTCCCTTATCAATTCAGTGGGTGTTCTCTTTAATATGGGATTTCAAATTCATGAGAAATCTAAAGGGCGAATCTTTTTCTTCCCCCTGTCTCACCGTCTTCATTCTCCTCCTGCTCAGGCGTTGGGTCTGCCCATCACGGACGCTCAGATTCAGGAGATGGAGAGCCACGAGAAGGACATCGACTTCGCCATGGCGGCCGAGGAGGAGCGCAAGCTCAGGCACGATGTCATGGCCCACGTCCACACCTTTGCACACTGCTGCCCCGCCGCCGCTCCCATCATTCACCTCGGTGCCACTTCCTGCTACGTGGGAGATAACACTGTAACTATGATTGAATGCACTGATGCACAACTGTGTGATTACATGATCTATAACTATGTTTCTAAAAAAAAAAAAAACAACGCAATAATGTTCATATAGAATATAAAACTCTGGGTTAGGTTTGAGTTCTTTTCTTCTCACGGTTGTTTGTTTTTCTTCCTCAGGATCTGATTATGCTGCGTGATGGATTCGACATCGTCTTGCCTAAGGTGAGGCTCAGCTGTCTGCCAGAAAACACGCACACCCACCCAGTTGTGCGACTATAAAATGGGTAGAAATCAGGCTAGAGTGGCTTTTTTTCCCTCTGAAGCCTCAGCTGTTCAATAACAAGTCAACAATGTAGAAATAATGAATCTGCGTTTTTTTTCTCTCTCATTGCACAAAGAATACAAACAGAAATCAGGCCATTTACATGTGGGCTTAGTATGTGGTGTAAAGGTCTATTATACAATGATTGCGTGCTAAAACCGTTTGCCCCTTCTTTTCTTTTTTTTTTACCCACAGCTGGCCAGAGTCATTGACAGACTGGCAAACTTTGCAGAGAAATATGCCGACCTCCCTACACTTGGCTTCACACACTACCAGTGAGTCTGAGTGCAGCTCAACCTCTCTGTCCTGCTGCGTCTTATTGAATCATGTTAATCAGTTTGCATGGGGCTCCAACTGTACCTGATTGTGGAGGACAAATCAATCATGACTCACAGCCTTGACCTTCTATGATCTGTCCACATTAGTCAAAATCTGACCAATCAGATTCGACTATGTAAATCCTTAGTGGACATCCAAACTTCTTACACATTTCTTGCTCTTGAAATTTCTCGCAGGCCTGCCAGTTGACCACGGTAGGAAAGCGAGCATGTCTGTGGCTGCAGGACCTCGCCATGGACATGCGCAATCTGCAGCGAGCCCGTGACGACCTCCGTTTCCGGGGGGTCAAGGGGACCACGGGTACCCAGGCCAGCTTCCTGCAACTGTTTCAGGGGGAACACGACAAGGTATGAACCATCTACAAACAGATGTGTGGTGAATGATGTCTAAGTATTTTATAAACACTTCATAATCTCGGGGCGAATCATTTCTCCTCACCAGGTGGAAGAGCTCGACAGGATGGTGACAGAGATGGCCGGCTTCAAAAAGTAAGTCCTGCACTGAAATGGAGGAGATTTAAAATTCCTGCCCTCTAACTTCCACTATAATTTCACATTGTCTCTAAGTCTAACAAAAGAAATGTGATAGATCTCCTGAGACAAGCAGAGCTGGAGATTCAATCAAGTATCAAAGTGTTTTCATTTAACACTGGCTTTGTTTTTCACTTGAGGGTTTTGTTCCTTTTCTTCCCCCAGAGCCTACTTGGTGACTGGGCAGACATACAGTCGTAAGGTGGACGTCGACTGTCTGTCCAGCCTGGCCAGTTTGGGAGCAACTGTTCATAAGGTGAGCGACAAGAACCGGAGACGTGTAGAGAAATGCTGCCATCTAGAGGTGTTAATCGGAAATCTACTGGGGCTGTGATACACCTGCTATTTTAGCTTTAGTTTAACTTTCTCCAGCTTATCCTTTTTATTTCTCTCTCTGCTACAGATTTGTACAGACATCCGCCTGCTCGCCAACCTCAAAGAGATCGAGGAGCCTTTTGAGAAGGAGCAGATTGGTACATTTACTCTCAGAACAGTTCCATCCAGTATGAGGAAAACAAGTCAAACCCTTTGTCAGTATTAAGTTGTCGTTCTCCTTCAGGTTCCAGTGCGATGCCCTACAAGAGGAACCCCATGCGTGCAGAGCGTTGCTGCAGCCTGGCCCGTCATCTAATCGCGCTGATGGCCGACCCCCTGCAGACGGCCTCGGTCCAGTGGCTGGAGAGGACGCTGGATGACAGCGCTAACAGGTCTGCTACAAAAGATGCACTCTTAAGTTATCTGAGGTTATTTCCCCCTCCAATATATGAGGTCTTCTGGTATCGTTCAACACATGCAGTTCCTTAAACGTACAATATGTAGCAGAGAGAACTCCCATGATTCCCCGCTAGCCACTACGTCATCTTTTGTTATTGTAGTGTTGATCATATTGTATCTTTAAGTCGTAAGTAACAAGTTGTTCAAATTTGGCATTCTCTTCTCTACATATTTATTCATTACACTTTCCTCACTCACGTGCAGGAGGATCTCCCTGCCTGAGTCCTTCCTCACGGCGGACATCATCCTCAGCACTCTGCAGAATATCACCGAGGGACTGGTGGTTTACCCCAAAGTCATCGAGAGACACATCCGCCACGAGCTGCCGTTCATGGCCACAGAGAACATCATCATGGCCATGGTGAAGGCTGGAGGGAACAGACAGGTATGGTTGTTATTCACGTTTGTAGCATAACAGTGGCTCAGTGTGCAACCTCTTCATCATAATGATCATGTTTCTACATCTTGCTCTATTTGCAAAGAAAGGGCAACACTGACAGATTAGAAGAAAATTCTCAACAGGAAGCTATTTTCACCTGTTGAGTCTCTCCAAAGGCAGACTGAGCGACTACCTGAGATCAAAGTTTACTTCAAGGCTCTATTTGAAAATAAACGCGTAGCTTCAATCGTGGCCTTTATTAGACTTTGAAAGAAACATCATAATATAAAAAAAAAAAACTGAGAAAGTGAGGGAGCTGTCCTCACATGGACGATCAAATGACAAAAGCCTTATGTTCCTCTCCCACTCTGTGCTTTTTCATTTAAGTGTATGATGTTCTCTTCAAAATTTTCTCACCTTCTTCCCTTGATCCTGTACCAGATCATATGATGGCATCATCAGAATAAAATCCCGTCCCTTACTGGATTAATACAGGGGAACACCCCTTGCAGGTGCTGGCACTGACATAACAAAAACTAAAATATGATTTTAAGTAAACACAGCTAAATGAGTATTAAACACATGACATATTCAACATTAAATCTGGACTGATTGTTGTGAACATTGAGAGAATGGTGTCCTTCCATAGGCCTGAGGAAACCCTGCAAAACTAATGTGGACAACTGTTCCCCAGGCCTCCTCTGAATCTGTCATGAGTGATCACATATCAATGCCCCCTCGGTGCGTTTACAGTTGCGTTTAGAGTTGCAAGTTTTTTCCATGTGTGATCGGGTGGCTGCAAAGTTGAAATTGCTCTTTGTAGCATTTCAAAGGTCTCTCATGCATGAAAGTGTTAATATAAAGATTCCAACATGTTAATTTGTCATGGACAACAGGAGGACTACTTGCAAAGTGTAACGTCAACTCTTTCTGCTCCCTGAAGGACTGCCACGAGAAGATCCGTGTTCTGTCCCAGGAGGCGGCAGCTGTGGTCAAACAAGAGGGCGGTGATAACGACCTGCTGGCCAGAGTCCAGAAAGACCCCTACTTTGCTCCCATTCTGGGGCAGCTGGACGCCGTACTGGACCCCAAAACATTTATTGGTCGTGCTCCACAGCAGGTACAAAATAAACAGTTATTTATTTTTAATACTGTACTCAACACCTTGCTTCTTTTGTGACTTTGTTTTTCTTATGAATGAATAAGCAGTACGCCTTATTGCTTTGCTTGATCTTGTCTTGTACCTGTGTAAGCTGGTACCTGCATTTTCTGATCAAAAACAATCTCCTCCTTGTCTCTGTAAACTCTAAACGTGTCACTCCCTTAGCGTATTTGTTTACATTGTGGCGTTTTAATTCGTATGATCAAATGAAGACGCAGAAATGTGAAATGTTAAACTTTTGGTGTGAAATATATCCACTCCTTTCCTCTTCTTTCTTCCTCTGTGTCCTCTTATCCAGGTGGCCAGGTTTTGTCTGAAGAAGTGCGCCCCCTGCTGGAGCCATACAAGGCTAAGATGGATGTAAAGATTGAGCTTGAGCTCTAACACACACACACACACACACACACACAAGCCAAGACAACGAGACTTCAGCATGGTGGGTGTCCTCAATAAAGAAAGGTCATTGAATAAATGTATCTCCATCACAGTGTTTTCATTTGTGTGGTAGACGCTCTTACTCAGTTATCTATTGGTCTGCTTTTAGTAAAACAATACTCAGAATAAATTATCTTGCCGATGGGCTCCTCAGAAGTCGATGAGACGCAGAGCTGATGGGCAATTTGTGAGTGGTATCTCAGCACTTTAGTTTTATTAGCTGCATCATTTCAACTTGAAGAAATCAGGAGCAAAACACATAGCAGGCTGTTCTCTTTTCAACCTTTTGAATCGGGGCATCGTTCACAAGGGTTTGACCAGGGGCTGAATCAATAACAGTCCTCACTTGCGTTACTGTCTCGTCCTCTCCGTCCACATTTGGACAAAACTGCAATACATATATAACACATGGTGGCACCATTTATCTGTCATTTAGTGTTTCAATTATAATCCATTAAATTAAACATCACTATGTATTTTCACAGTTCAATCGCTTGTATATATTGTCATCATTTCTGGTGTAAAAAAAACATAATCTATTCTGTAAAGAGATTACAGTGTAAAGCTGACAGATGGTGAATAATGTGTAATTAGTCAAGAGATCTTAGATTAGTAGATATAAAGTAGAGAAAGCTACTTTAGGTTTTTGCCTCAGTCTGACGTGCCACTTAATATGGTTCACTGCTCTGTAACATTGCCTCGATGTTTAGGATGTTTAGTTCATTTACAGTGAATGCCAGGGGAAACTCTGCTCTGTTTCTCCCTCACTCCCCACCTGTCAGCTTTTAATACAATAGAGGAAGAGGAACAGAAAAGGAGGATGGAGGTATGAAGGAAAAGCTTTGTTAGCAAGAGAACCCATTCCCATGACATAATGAAACTGTTGCCAATGCCTTTACTTCAAATCATCAATGAAAAGATTGATATTCAGTTAAGATTATCTTTCTACTCTAGATTCTGTCTGTATTATAAAATCTTGCATCCTGAATCAACAATGCTCTTCATACCTAGAAAAAAGCTGTAGAGAGTGACTTTTACAAACACTTGAGATACTTTTTGGCTGCTTCAGTATTGTAATCTATCATCTAAATTCCAAAGAACATCTCTATATGGCAGCACAGATGTTGCTTGTATATAAAAAAACCGTCTCTTGACATTAAAGCTGCCCTCCGCTTCCTTGAAAAAACTGACCAGAGGGGGCGCTGTGGAGCGGTACTCTCGCTGATTATCTTTAATCTGATGGGAAAATTCAGCTCGGGCTTCATGCCAGCGTGTCTTTTTGGAAGATGCCTTCAGTTTAAACTGAGGTTCTACATTCAGCACAATTTGTCAGGGCTATTTGTGATGAGCAAAACAATGGAGCTTTTAAATCCATGCAGACAGAAGGAGAGGTTACAAGCTTGGCTACAGCTTTAAACTATTTCTCATCAAGTTCTCTGCTTTCTCCAAACATATCGTCTCAGGGTCAGTTGGCACCGTCTTAAGTTGGACATGAAGATGAAGTCTTTAATTTTGTTTATGCCTTTTATTTGATGTCATTAAAAAAAAAAAAAGAACTATTGGGGAGGTTGAAATGGGAATACTGGGCCCCCAGTGTCCTGACGGCATTCTTTCACATACTTCATGCTGTGTGATCACCAGAGGGGGGGCTTTGACGAGCGGGCACAGGGATCAGACGGACAGCGTGGAGTTCTATGGGAAATTCTCATGTGCTTTTAGTAACCAGTGTTTCCACTGCAGGTTTTATACACACTTTGTCAAACTGGACTGTCTCTACACTGCTACCATTATTTTATCAATCAGACTTGCAATACAATTTATATCCAGTAGTTGAACCTGTGAAAATTAATCACATATGGCATTGTTTCTATTACTCTGTGAAACTTGTTGTTTTTGTTAAAACAAGGACAAAATGACCTTGTTTTAACTCGGGTCTTACTGAGGAATTCAGAGGGGAAAACGTTGGCGCCAAAACACCCTTAACCCTGCTGTTTTCATTAGTGAGTATAAAAGGCTTCTGATTGAGGAAAAAAAAAACCTCATTAAATCACCTGTAGTGATGTGCAAAGCCTGAGAGACCCTTAATGTAAATGTCAGAAAAACGTCTCGGTCCTCGAGGAGAGAATGGTGTATGTGACGCCCGCCTTGTTGCTTTTGACTTTCATTCAAGAGGGAGGTAATAAGACATGCTTTCTAGGCCTGTGTTGTAATCTCCCCTAACACCTGCTTGTGCTCTTGCTCTCTTATCCCTTCAACAGCTCTTGAGCAGGAACAATAGCAATGCTTGCCTATCATGCGGCGGAGCGGTCGCCTCCACGATATCAGATATCGCCGTGGTAGCCCTCGGCGCGGCCTGTCGGCTCTTATCATCGAAGGACCACATCCTGCGCATGCCATCGCAAAAGGCCAGTCAATCCTCAAATCAGCTGAATTCAAAACTTAGAAGGCTTGGGAGAGCCTCGGGATTTACAATAAGTGTTAAAGAGATGAAGACGTAGAGGGATAGAAACAAAGCTAACAATGTTCACATAGCCGCCAATTGTCGTCTGACGTCATGTTGGACGCTCAAATACGCTTCGCAGCGCTCCAGGTTATAAGTGTTATTGACACAAGGAATCCAACCGATAATTTAGCACTTTATAATTCACCATGCTGAAAAGACAACTCAGAAAAAGACAAATTTGAGGGTTAACTGTCCGTATGTCAAGCGAAAACATTTGATAGCCTACTCCACCAGACAACAGCTAACGTTAGCATTAAAGTGCTAGCTTTTATAACAGTTAGCTAGGAAGGTGGTGAAAACGTTTACTTTCATCCTGATACCTTTAAAATAGGAGAGGCATTAATCCCCAGCTAAAAAATGTTAGCTATAATTTTTCTGACTTGATATTTTAGTGTTACCAAGATAATGTATCCTTTGGTAATGAAATGTTAGCTAGCACCATTCTTTCTTACGTTCATATCGTGAGCTCGCATTTATCAATTTACAAACGAAATAACTAGCAGTTTTCTTCCTTTCTTATAGGAAGAAAGCTGGAAAGTTTTTCAATGCTATCCTAATCACGTAGACTATTAACGTAAAACACAATCCGATATACCTCAGCCTTAATTGACTGCAGTTATTAAGCTGCAAAATGCTAACGTTTTGTCAGATATCCCAAACAGGACTTTAAATGTGTTTGAGCTTTCCACCCTGAGCAATGACGTCAGAGATAATGGCAGCCGTGTGACAATGGTAAATTCAAACACAGAAGAGAGGGAAGGAATTGTCCAAGGCTGCGAGCGATAGATCCATCGACAGATTATAGAAACCTAGAGACAGAACAAGGGTCTTAGAAAGATGGAAGGAGTGATAGAGAAAATAGAGAGAGAGAGAGGAAAAAAGAAGAGTGGGCACCAGCAGCCGTGATCTCACCCTCTTCTCCTCGCTGTTGGCAGACGCTTCCAGAAAGCTGCCCTTTCGCAGAAAAATGCCAAGCGCACCACATTCCACCGGCCACACAAAGACCCTCCCTCGTCTCAGCTGCACAGGGACAATCAGACAAGGGATAATTATATAATTAGGCTGGCTGGCTGGTGCAGACAGGGACCCTCTGATGGTGTGTTGGTGTGACATATTTACGTGATCAGACAATGAAGAGAGTCTTGCCTTATCGAAGTGTGTGGGGGTCTCCAGATGTGGCACTTAGGAACAGATTGTCGTGATATTGGCGAACAACAGGGTTGATGGAATGACCTTCAGCGCTGCGGCCCGGCTGAGATCAGAGCCTGTATTGTGGCAAAGCGTTAGCTGTGTTGTTAAATGTCAGGAAGTGAGACACATAAAAGACTTGCATAAAATAAGACAGAATGGCTCATTTATATTTGTGTAGATGGAAGGAATCATGCCCCTACACAGTAACCAGTGGTAAGTAAGCTTTTTGATCTGATGTGCCCCCATCATCAATCAAATACCCCACGACTTGACACATTTTACTTTCAGTTATTGCATGGCTTTGTTGAATACTGGATTTGGCCATTAACAGAGATCTACACATTTGATATTCCAGTCTTGAAATATGTGAGTGTTGACTAAATTAGAGCAAGCATGGGCATGATGGGAAATTCAAATTCAAGTTACAGTATGAAGCCTTGTTTATTACTTTAGTGATTATTAATATGGATAAACACCAGTATGAAAGAAATCCAAGTACAACTGGAGGTGGACTTTTTTTCATATTTAATGGTGTATCTTGTTTCCAGGCAACATGTGATGACAGTGGTATGATATTGCGTCCCATTACTCATAGTTCATACCGTCTCAAGACCCCACAGACTCAAGTACTCATGCATGACTCACCTGACTTGCAGTGTTTAGGGTGTGTGGGTGGAGATTGGGATTGGGCGAAACCAAACTTCAGTCTAGTAACAAAGAGGTGGAGATGAGTGGGCCATAAGCCACCTGTTTTTTAATTGTGCATGGGACGCCAATCGATGCAAATGATAAATTAATTAAATCAAAAAATATTTCACCCCCTTGACCTTACTGCTTATTGGCTGTATTTTTCCTTGAATGCCAAAAAACTCACAACTTACTTGGTTTTGGGATTTTAGGCGAAAAATATCCTAATATAATATCTGCCCCCATTTCATTCTGGATGTTGCTGTATTTCAATGTTGCCAATCTGCTTCTTCTTTGTGTTTTGAGCTTTGCTTTTAAGGTTGCATTCTGCAGACCCCTATCTTTTACTTGCATGCTTGGCACCAGTGCTTTACTCTGAGGATTATTTTAAGTATTACAGATAAATAAATAAAAAGTCTCTCCATTTTTTTCAAACCAATTGAACTTCTCTCCAATCTTTCCATGCACCTCAGGACACTAGTTTTGGGAACCACTGCAGTGAATGACAAAAAGAATTTGCTGCCAAAGAGATAACAACACTTCTCCTCTCTTGTCGTAGCAGGATCCACGATCCCAGACGAGAATCAAACCAGTGTCCCGCTCACTTGGCCTCAGCCCAGCAGTCTCCCCTCACACCGTGGCCTTGGCTTCGGGTGTGGCTCTGCTCGC